TATTTCGTTCTTCGAGATTTCTGATTTTCGTTTTTCTGACGCTTGCCACTCGAGCTTCGGCCGACTTTACAAGTCGCAATTTTGACTTTTCTCCAGTCTCAATTTTTCAACATTTCAGCCATTGTGGTTCAAACAATGCTCATTGCTCCTTTTTGTACAGAACTACAGTGTTCCCCATCATGGACGCGCATCAACAATGGTGGCAACAATACTATGGCACCACGACACCCACTGCCGGCTATGGACCTCTCACCAATGCAGTGCGTCATCATTACCAACACCCTTATCACCAACATCATCAACATCACGCCAACATCCCTGCTGATCCACCCACTGCCTCTCCAGCACCACCAGCAACGTTTCCACCCGAACCCTTGCCCCCACCCGCAGCATCTCACCACCCAACGCCTCCACAGCTTAGCGTGGTACCCCCCAACATCCCCAACCTACCTGACACATGGACTCCCAGCGACACACATTTGGATACGAATACCGTACATGGTCACACATTGTTTCGGACGATTCAGCCGACGCAATGGTCCAGGAAATACAACCTCGCGGGACAACAAGTCCTCGACATTTTTCCATGGCAGCTCAGCCGTTTTGGCCTCCAGGACCACAGCCTACGCATCCTATCCCAAGGACGCTACACAGGCATTGTCACCACCAGATCTATCGCGGAGGCGGTCTTCACTTCACAATTGCTGCCGGAGATGAGGGCCCACAACCTGGACATCGACAACATCGCTGAATATTTGCACCAACAAGCAGATCAGTCCATTCCAAACAAAACCACAGAAGCCAAGCAATTCATGCAACCACTTATTTCTCGCATCATTGACTTCCTACGAGGCCTTACACCACCAGCCGGCGAAGGCACAGCACTCCGAAAGCTCCAGCAACAGACAGATCGCTTGCAACAACAAGAGAGCGAACTCCAGCGCGCTCGCGACAAGTTGAAGAATCATGGCATTGCACTCACACCAACCAAGCCAGGGTCACACCCTGCCCCATCATCCGCCACCCACCCACCACATCTCCCACTTACAGCCCCTTCCGCCATCACAACCACCACCATTCTCAATCCCACCACACAAACACTCCATGACAACTCACCAGCCAACTATGCAGCAGCTGGCATTCAAAAATGGCTCAAGACACTACCACCAGCCACTCAGACACAAGTCACCAACATCCAGCAAATTCTTCGAGATGAACATATCACAAAAGAACAACTCCAAGAAGCAGCTTCCCCCACGTTCACTACAGCAACTGGTGGCCGCGGGCTCGGCATTGGCAGCCTGACTCGTACAACAAGCGCTGCATCAACCAACACATCACACCCTACAATCTTTAACAACATTACACACAGCGCTATCACACTTTGTCCATTTCACCCCCTACATTGACAAGTCACACGCTATTTTTCCTGTCAGTCTTATTCACCTTACATGCCTCTTTGCCTTTCCTTCGCAAACACATCACTCTATACATTGGCGCTCCCGTTTCAACCAACTACAATTACACCACACACTTATCACTACCAAATGTTCACACATCCCAATGCGGTCTATGCCAAGCTCTTTTTCAACCAACATCACACAAGACACCAGTACCACCAACATGGACATACATACATCGGCTCTACCAGCATCACTATCCCCAAGCGAGAATACAATCGTCACGCAAAACTCAAACAATTACACAACAACCACCCAATTTCAGCTGAACTTTCTCTACGCTACTGGCACTCCAAGAACAACCTCCACCACTACAGCACTATTTACCTTTCCCATCACGACACCTATGATCAAGCATGGACCTACGAACACCTGCGGATCCAAGAATGGCAACCTACACTCAATTGGCCCTATATCCAACGACACCTCAAACTCAAAGCCTCAGGTTGGCAATTCTCAAAACACCGCACCACTTTCACACGGATGTCCACTCACAAACGTCTCTTCCAACGGCTACGACGACGACAACACACCATTAAGCAACCCCACCTTCACACAAGTCAACGCCTACACGCCCTGACAGTTTTACGAGAGCTCAGCAAACATACACTTTCATCTTTTCAAACATCAACAGCCATCCGCAGCGGCAAATACACTGATCTCGAAATTTACGCCTTCCGTCGAATGGCCGCCAGCTTAGAGGAACCAGATCGATCACGTGTTCTTCACCTTCTCCACTCAGCGCTCAGCTTTCGCAATCTCACTCCACCCAAAGCCAACAAACCCTTTACCATTCCTTTCCTCTCCCACAGTACCTTCTCATCTTCCACGGAAAAATGGCTTCGCACACTGATCCAACACCACATGCATCACGTCATTCCCTTCCACCCACCTACTACCAAACTACGTGAAGCAGCACACAAGACTTTGCGTTCCCGGCTCTACAACCACAAACGTTGGGAAGAACTCTTCTCCACACATCCAACAGCAGCTGACATGCCATGCAGCTGCCACCACATGCACACCTTTGCTTCGTCCCAACCACACACCGCCGCTCTATGATGGTCACTACGTGCTTACACTTGAAGACCTACAGCTCCCCAGCCATCTTGAGCTATTCCTCCAAGCCAACATGAACAGCACTTTCTTTCCCACAAAGACACAATATTTCCAACACTTTGAACAACAACTCACTTACTGGCTACGACACCATGGTCTACCCACTGCCCTCCATCAACACAGCCTACCTTTTCTACACCAACAATGGAAACAGCACATCGACAATCTTTTATACACGCCCCGCTTTACATCCCGCAACGTTACACAGCTTCAACAGTTTCTTACAGACAAGCTGGTACTCCATCATGCTGACCATGAACTACAAAACCTACGACTCTTCTGCCCACAGCACTACTTCCACGGATGTCTCACCACATGGAATACACCACAACTTTTTCTCCCACTACCAGATCTCACGGCCCAACAACTCCACCAATTTCTCACACAATCCTTCCCAGCCAGCATTCGCAAAGCATACCCCTGGGGCTTCCGCACAAAATTCTACACACCACATGGAGTAGTTTTCCTCAAACAAAAGAAATCCTGGCGAAAGGGTAGAACAGTCATCAGCTATTTCAGATCCATTGCGGGCACATTATTACGAGCCACCTCCAAAGCATTAGACATTATGCTCCTTCATCTTCTACCACAACATCCAGGCCAACTATCCATACCCAACCTTTGGCAACACCTCCACAACCATTTCCAGACCACACCCGAAGACATCCACCTCACACCGATCAACGACGACCTTGTCGGCTTCTTCAACAGCGTACCTCAACAACGCCTTGTCGACGCAGTCATCAGCCTATGCCACCGCTGGAAAGCACAACACAACACTGCCACCATCACCATTGATGTTCAGTCTACCGGCAATCCCATCCAACACTCACACATCGGTCGACACTACATCCACCACCCACAGCAACGCACACTTGACACACAACACATTCCGCTTATCGTTCAACAAGCTCTTCACTCATGCATTTTCCAAGCATGCAACACCTACTACAAACAAATTCAAGGAGCCGGCATTGGCAGTCAGCTCTCACCGGCACTCTGCAATGTGGCAATCACACTCATCGAACACACTTGGCAAACCACATACCACACCTTCTTACACCAACCAAGCCTTCACTTGCTCAACACTCGCTATGTCGACAACCGATACATCTTGCTCAACGAACAATACAGATCAGCACTCCCCATCACTACACTGGCCCATCCTGAATTTTATGAACAACCAGCTGAAATAGAGCCAGTGGACGACGACCATCTACTCGGTTTCCTGATTGATCCTCTCAACAGAACCGTCACCTTCCAACTCCCCACCCATCCCTGGCAGATTCGTGATCCACAATCAGCAGGAAGCCACAGGCTACGCCTTTCAGGTTTACAATCACGCCACCACACTCTACACAAATACACATTTCCATCACATCTAGTACCCACAACAGCACAACAGTTGATGCGGCTCTATATGACAAAAGGTCATTCAAAAGAACACTGCGCCGCGGCGCTGCGGCCAAGGAGAGAGAAAAAGCCTATGCGCCAGTATTTTGCAGTCTGTCGTTTTGTACATTTCACACTATCGAACTTATTCGCTGTCATGCCCTTCCAATATTTATTATCCAGATGCCGCCTGATCCGATCTAGTTGCGCCGATACGGCTCTGTGTGTGTGTCCACTCCTGTTTCCAAGGACACTACTCTAGTACTTTTCTAATCTACCCTACGAGCTTTTCTGTACAGAAGCAGGGGGACAACCCCATGGATGCAGTTGGTTGTCCAACGAAGAGGGCTGCATTCCATGGCTGATATGATCCTGGGACGCTAGGATCACGTACCTGCAATTTTAATACTAATTTTGATTTTCAATCGCTGAGGTTTCTAAGTCAGTGCAACGCCGTCTCATACGTTGTTTCCTGCAGTATCTAGATTTAAAGGGCTAATGCACACCGCGAAGCTACCTGAAATCACGCTCCACGGAGCAACCTTCTCAAGTGTGTGTGTTACCCTCCGTTTCCAGGATTTTGTTTCTTACTCAGTTCGCAGGGGGCACGGCGGCCGTTCACCTATCCGTGCTGACAAAGCTATGTGTTCGGGTGGAAGAGATACTGGACGCAGTATCTTGTACCTGCACAATGTTTAATAGTAGTCACACCCAAACATTGTTGAACAATTCGTTTACGTTGACTTTGCGCCTTTCCGTTCCATGTTTCCTTTCCTGAAGGAACAGAATGACTAAGTGTATGTGTTTGTGTCCTTTTTGGTTCAATACAATCAGTTCGCGAAGCTAAGCTTCTCTTGTGTTCCTGCCCAGGTGAAGGCAGGTGGTAGAGAGATGATCAAAAAAGGCACCAACCAACGAGACATCATTGTGTTTGATGCCTAGGATGGGTTGCTCCTGTTCTCTCAACAGGGCTTCCACTCTTCATGGAAGCTTGTGACAAAGCTTGTGACTGTTCATGTTCTGACTCAGGCGAGAACTGCCTTGGCTCAGAAGGGGCTCATATCATTTCTCAAGCATTGGCCGAGCATCCCACGCTTGAGGCACGAAATCTCCACTGCCCGTGTCCTTGTTTTTCATATCCAGCGTCAGATTGGCCTGTTGGCCAGTTGAAATGAGGATCTCTAGGAATCATGCTTTGAAGATCATGAAGGGATGGTGTGTTCAAAAGGTTTGACTCAAGTTGGCATTTGCTGCCAGTGGCCGTGAGGCTGTAGAAACCACGGCAACTGAGGTTGCACAATGATGTGCTGTTTCTTTTTGGTTTGTCCCACCCTTACCATCCTTAATAGTGAAGAACTTGGTCATTGAACTCCATATTTTTGTCCAAGATGAAGACTGCAGTGAAGACTGCAACCCAATGGCGTTTTGGATCCAGTGTCCATGGTCACGTCCTTTTTCAGGACACATGGTCGTACAACCCCTCAGGACACTCCCAGCGAAGTCGCCAGCCGCCAGGAACTGGTGCTAGCTCGCAATCACATCGGCCAAGTTGGTGGTGTGAAGAGACTTGGCCGGTGCAACCGAGAAGGAAGAGGGATCCAGAAGACCATGAGTGGTTTATCACATGCTGTGTTTGCGTGTGTGATCTATTCGAGGGTGTGTGTGCTGAAAGGACTCTTCAGAGATCACATTCCAGTGATTGGCTCCTGCATGCTACGCCTGCTACGCCTTTATCCTCCGTTGGCTCCGAGGATTGTGGACTTGCTTCGGGTGAATCACAACATCACAAGCCCTTCGGTGCCGTTTGCTTCGGCTGAACCGCCGTTTGGTACATTTCACCACGGTCCTGGGAGTGATACCATCCACTGGGAGTCTAAGCATTTCACCAAATTGCACCCTTGTGCATGCACAAGGTTTGAGGGAGTTGAGGCACCAGGGAGTTTGAGGGAGTACTCCATGACAATGAGTACTGAGTAATGTTTGATTCGTAGTAACAGGCGTCCACCCCCTCGTCGCCTTTTTTTGATGCTTTTTGGAGGTACCCTGTTGTAGGAGTAAGAGTAGGAGTAGCAGTAGGAGGAGTAGCAGTAGGAGTAGGAGTAGGAGTAGGAGTAGGAGTAGTAGTAGTAGTAGTAGTAGTAGTAATTTTTTGCGACTGAATACTCTAATTGTGGATCTGGACTGGGAATTAGAGCTAATTATGGAACCCCAGACAAACACTAAACAAAATTTGATCTGGATTTTTTGGACAATTCCATCTCACCTGCTCAAAACTAATCTAACATTACTGCTAATTCGGCATGCTTGCCCATCCAATCCAAGGCACAAGCTGTACCAGCTTGTTCTCGAATGATGTGCGTCATGTTGTTGTCCTTGCAATTTCATGCTTTGCCAATGAAGTCACACACGAAGTTGCAAGAAATGCCAAACTGACCATGAAATGCTTTATACGGATTCATGTCTAGTGACAACCAGAAGCTTACTCTCAGTTTGTTTGGTTTCCAGCCTTGCGTCCCACCTCAGTTTAAGAAGCTTGATACTCCAAGAATGCAAACATATGCAAACCATTGTCCTCACAAGGAGGCTGAAGAGGTAAGCGTGTAGAACAAGAACCAACTTCTTTAGTGTGGAGTGCAGATCGGTCCCCCAGGGACCAGGTGTCTAGCTGCTAGTCGTCGCTTCGTGTTCGTGTGTGTCGTTTTCGAGGTGGTCGGAACTCATCATCGCAGCACGTCGCTTCGGTGTGTGTCGATCACTTTTGACTGCTAGGAGTTGATATGGATGACAATCCGATCGGTGCAGACTGGGCTTCTTGGACAAGCGGGGAGAGCGGGAGAGCGCGGTCGGAGGGGGTGAAACAGCGGACGTGGAGAACCTTTCTTGGCAAGTCCGGACCTTGGTGGCTCAGTGCCTTTCCACCCTGGCATCCATGCTGATACAAGTGAAGAGTTGTACCATAGATAGATAGCAGATAGATAGATAGATAGATAGGTAGGTAGATAGATAGATAAATAATGATAAATAGATACATATATAAGAGAGAGAGAGAGTGAGAAATACAGTTGCATAATTACGTATGCACTTATATTGCCAACAACTTTAACATGACTTAAGGTATTGCCTCCATCAGACAGTTTGTCAGAGTTTTGCGGATCCAATCATTGTGTTCTTTATTGGCTGTCAGAGTTTTGCGGATCCAATCATTGTGTTTTTTATTGGCTGCCCAGCTATCGGCAGGACCGTGAGGACTGCGAATGTTTGGCTTTCTTGCTTAAATTGACAGTTTGGACCCTTCGGCATTGCGGAGAGGGACATGAGATAGAGAGATGGAGATTTGTTAAGGCCGTGACTTCTTTTGTCAATGTTTGCTTGCAGCTTTGAGGCTCACTACATCTACGTGCTGTGACCTGGTTGACCGGATTTGCGCCAGGGTTCGGGTCACCGAATGCGCCGGATGCATGGACGATCCACCCAGCCACAGGTTTTCCTGAAGGAGGAAAACCATTTGCTGGTCATGTGTCTAATCTACGTCTACGACGGACTCACCCGTTGGTCTCCTGAGTCCGGCGTCCCATTCCTCTCATCATCTCACTAGTTTGGACAAAGATCCATGGGAAGCCCGCTCAAAAAGATGGTGTCTATCAGATATGTCAGCTTGGTTTCCCAACACACTGGACGTTCCAGATATCGGATTTGGGTTCGGCTCCGGCCCCGTGCCCATCAGAGAACATCTAGATGGCAGTTGCGACGTTTCAGCTGCTTCCGGGTGGTGGGACTCTATTCCAGGACCAACGATTTCAGGAAAGCCTACCAAACCATCATTCGGCCAAGAACAAGTCGCCCAGAAGTCAACGAAACAAACGAGTTCAGCACCCAAAACGATGTTCCTTGTGTTGAGGCCCTTGAGTTCCGGTTTGAGGCCCATCTCCCCGTCCATTCCGTTGGTCCCCGAGGCAACGGGACCGGAGCGCCACATTGGCCTCTGCGAAAAAGACCCCGATGGCCAGCGGAGAGTCGGGCGCGCGCATGAGCCACTTGGACGAGCCCAGAGGGCCACTTGGACGGGCCACACGTTGCTGGGGCAAGTGGCAGAGACGCTTCATGGTGCGAAGAACGGGTAGATTGAGACAGATGAGAGGCCACGGGATCGTTTTTCATGTGTTTTTCATGCACAGGTGCACGCTGCTGCATGCTATAATAGCCTTTTGACATCCTTGTGCGGATGTTTAACGATTTTAAAGTATTGAGAGGAAAAACCATGCAGATGACGTCATCCCCAAGGTTCCTTGAAGCTTGATGCCTTGCAGAACGAGATGAAGGCGCCGTTTTACTTGAAGACGGACTTCCGAAACACGGCATAGTAGCTAGCTAGTTTTGCTACACCTGTCCCCTCCAAAGTGCTTCCGAGTGGAGGTGGGGAGCCTGCTGACAGTGAGAAAGCCACCACTGCTTTGTGCAGGAGTTGAAGCCGGCCGTGCCCTTGTCCAAGCGACTTCGGCGGAAGGAGGCGCAAGAATGGGTTTCTCCGTGATTTGAAGCGCACAGTTTGCTTGCAGATGCCATCAGATGCCGTACACGTTGGTTTCAGCTCAGATGTGTTGGAGAAAGGGGTTCAGATGTTTTGTCGAAACATATTACATCATATTACTATTTAAACGACTTTAAAACATACTGTACTGCAAGGATATTATTCCAATCAACGACAGTCCAGGAATCTCATCCGATTTCAACCGTCATCACCAACCATGGCAATTGCCCGCAGGAGGACATGAGACCGAGCGGTGTGCTCTCCGCACGTACGCCAAGACTGTTGAGGTGACGAGACGGGATGTGCTCCACCTGGAGCAGGTGAAAGGAGTATGGAGACATGCTGAAAAATAATCATCAAAAGGTTGAACCTTAAAAAAGCACATCAACATATCATATAAGATAACAGTCTATACATAGCACTAATCACAGTACATATATAGCGCATCACAGGGAGGTTGAACGTTTCAAGTCTTGTTTGCTGGGTGATCGCCATGTGTAACCCTGATCCTCCGTGGGAGGATCACACATCGCTTCACTCATGACTCTTAATTGGGGGCAATGCTTAGTGAAATATTGGAAGCTTTGGTGCTCTTTTGTCAATGGTGGCACTCGTACTCAAAAAGTTGAGGAATTGCGAAGCCCTCGGCCCTTTTAGCGCTGCTTCTGTCTTCAGCCCCCTGATGTTGTTTGCCCAAGAGCAGCCTGCTTTGGTGATTATTTTGATTGATTGTGTGTAGATCGCACAAGGCCCCTAGGCCATTTCTAGGTGAGGATCCATGAGATCTTGCGGTTTCTTGTCTCTTGGCCATTCGCTTCTCACCATGAACTAACTAGGTGAGATCTTCTTCACGGCCCTGACGAGCAACGAGATCGACGAGATCGACTGCCAGTGCCCGAACTGAGGCCTGAGGCGAAGGCCAGGGTGGTGTTTGAGCTGCATTGGCCCGCCTTGAGCTGCGCGTGGAAAGAGATGGACAAACGCAAATGAGGATGTTTGATGTTTGGGTGAAGATATTGGAATTTTTAGGTGGGGAACGCGAGATCGAATTCCGATCGGTGTTCCCTGCGATAATTTTGGCCGGGCTACTGTTGGAGCCTGCAAGTGGGTGATACAACACGATGTCGTGGGATTGTTCTGCCTTCAGTACAATGCATACACATTGGACTGTGAACTCCGTCCGGTGCCGAAAGATGAGTCGACTCATGGTTTTTCGATGTTTTTCGACTCCCACGTTCCCACTGGCCCGGCCATCGTTTCTAGCGCTGCAGTGCGAAAACCGCAGCTGCCAAAGAAGGCGCTGAAATTGATGCCAACAGCTAGAACCGCAGCTGTCGCAGATGGAAAAGGCAGGTGGGAGAAGTTGGGCCGAGTTGGGCGGGGAACGTGCAGAATCACCCTTCACTTGGCTTGAGACAGGCTTTCTAATTTGTGATGACATTGGCCGAAAGCGGGGAAGTGACTCAGTTTACACCTGCTGTGCCGGTTTCGGGAACGACGTTTGGCATCCGAAACGAGCGCCCCAACCAGCTGCAACGTCGTTTGGCAACTGGCGACCAGTTGTGTGTGTGTGGACCATTGAAGTCCTTTGATGCTTATATAACAGCTTGGTTTCAGTGGAAGCTTTCTTCACGCGCGCGTTCTTGGGGTTGAAGAAAGAACCTGGCTTGCAACATCTTGGGACTAAGGAGGATGAGTTGTGCACTGCCAGTGGCAAGCAGTTGGGCGCTCAGGTTCTGAGAGTGAAAAGAGCCACCTGCTCATCCTGAGGTTCGATAACGTATTTTGGTTGGCTTTTGGTGAGGCTTTGCTTTCTGTATTAGTCACGTGACACGTTATGGTCCATAGTTGGATTATGTTGGATTGGATGTAGGACCGGGCCCAAATAGTGTCAAATACAATGAATAGTGAATAGTGCCAAGCTCTCTTCACTTTTGTTTTGGGGGGAGGATGATTTGTGGACCCGTATGGTATGGAGTTGAATCCAGGTGGGAGATCTACTACTTCCTCTTGCGAAAGGAGGACGAGGTGCGGCGTACAAACACCAAGAAGCAGCATGAAGCAGCCAGGGAGCAAACGTTGCAGAGCATCTTCGCATTTGAGTTCGCCAGATATTTGGTGGTGTTCCAGATAGCAGCCACTCCAGAAATTGAGTGGTGCTCTAGCAACAGTACCGCAGCATTTTCCATTTAGCTGCTAGCATTGCCAGCTAGCTCATGCTAGCTCTACAAATGGAAGCTGATGCCACACACAGATATTTTGGTCATCCAGATGGCTGGACCGTTCTGCTTCCCTTCTTTGCTCCCAAAGCCGCCGGAGGCCTTCTACGAGCGCATAGCCATTGGTTGGCTCTTGGAGAACACGGCAGTGAGCCTCAGAACACGCAGTGGCGAGGTAGAGAGGGGAAAAGATGAACGGAGAGAGGTGGAAACTGAAACGACATTTTGGAACCAACTGAACGAGATCACGACAGGAACGTCGGACACGCTATTTGCACTGAGCAACTTGTTTCGTTCCTTTGCCTACGGTTGACTAGCTAAAATATGGACCAATACAAGCTAGTACCTTAAGCTAGTTCCTTCGATCCCTTTTTTGTTGCTTGACCTTTGCCTTTATCATTTTTATCAAATTCTTGGGAAGCCACGTGATGTGCCAACCCAGCAGGATCTCAAGCTTACGGACACCTTTGCCAAGGACTGCCGATGCACACATTCGTTCAGGGGCTGCAGAAATACGTGGGTGAAGCCGAATGGAAGATTTCTTCGAACATGCACATGCCCCATTGGAAGACTAATTACTTCCCCGCAAACAGAGGCTTAGATTCATGTTTGTTTTTCTCAGTCTCCGATGTCAGCTAGAAGTGTTCTTTGTCAAGGACAATGGAAAGAAACGAGTGAATCAGTTGTGGGGTGGAAGATGGCTTTGTCATCTTCAGGCGAGGCGTTTCCCAGTTCTGCCGTCCGTCGAAGCAAAAGGATCCCAAGCTGGAAAACTACATGCGTCCGGGCCAGAGAGCAGGGAAGGTCGTGCGTCGTTGTGAGCCCTGTGACCATCACGGACCGGACCAATTTCGACAACCAACGTGACGAAGGACAGTCAAGTGAACGAAGACCAAAGGCAATAGATCAAGCAATCAGATTGAACAATATAGATTACTGCAAATGTTGTGTTTTTGAAGGATCCTTGGAGGGCGTGCTGGTGACAAAGCCAGAGGTTGCCCCTGATTGCCCGGCGTTGCCCGTGATATGTTCTTACCACCCTCGACTTGGCAAAGAACGGCACGAGCACAGCGCGTGGAACGTTTCACCCATTCGGCCTACCGTGGAGGCCAACAAACCACCAGCTGGGCTCTCCTGACTGGTCGAAAGAACATCGGCGGGACATCCCGGAGGGGAGGAAGGGCTGAGGGGCCCGTGGACGTGGTGTTTTCGGGGCGGTTGGGGTCATGCGGAGCCTTGTGTTTTGGCTGAGAAATCAGTACTCCCAGTGTGAAGGTCAAGCTGTCAATCAGCCAAGGAGTTGTCAAAAACATGGATGGCGAGAAGGTGACACGGGGGAGGCATGCGAGTAAGAATTGATTGGATGAAATACCCATTATAGTCTTCGATCTAAATGATGTATATTACAATTGTATATATACAGTGGTTGCAAGAGTAGATGGAGACCCCAAGATGTCGTGCAGAAGGAGATCCATATAACCAACCTTAAACCGATTGTGCCATCTCTGAAACCACTGTAATTAGAAGTGTTATCGCCACTGATGATCACGTTGTCCCATGCAGGTGTGCCACCCAGGGTTGCACAAGTCCTCTCGGGGCTGGCACTAGGGGCTGGGGCGACTCACCATCACTATGCGTGGTTCGGGGGATGTTGGTGGCACCACAGGCTTTTGTTGCCATTTGATCGTTTTAAAACAGGTGTATACGGTATGTGTGCGCTTATGTCAATCATGTTGCATGCCCTGCGGTTTCCCCAGGCCAGATGGAGCAAGATGAGTTCATCGAGAGGTTGGTGGTCCTGAATGGCCAATGACACAAAGACAGCAAAGGAACGTAGCAGCAGCAACTACTGTATATTGAAGATATCTTGCAAGACTTGAGGCCCTTGATGAGTCCAAGAGTAGAATATGTTCACAAATATTGAAACATATCAGGCCGGTAAGGTTCTTTGTATGAGCATTGGAGTTTGGGAATTGGGACCATCACGACTTTGATCCATTTGCTTTGCGGTGCCAGCCTTGTAGAAAAGGAATCAACACCGACGAGCATGTATGACTGCGTAGAAGACTGAACCAAGATTGAGGCCACCTTTCAAGATCTCTGAACACTAATCACTAACCCCCCCTACACCCTTCCTTTCTCCAATCGTGACCCAGAAGCTCCAGACGCGTTCACACTCGTCGACGTGAATGTTTGGGTGATGAGCACCGGTCGCCATGGACACCGAGAGCGCCGGCACCAGCGCTCTGCGTTTGCGGGCCGAGAGCGCACTGAGGGCTTTGGCCGAGGGTCGGCGGCGCCTGGCACATGGTGTGACAGCTGTGGCTCAGCCACCTGCGATTGATTCAGATGTTGGGGGCTGTAAAATAAGAAGTCACCTAGAGAGATCCACATGTTGTTTATACCAGGATCTTCCAACTCGGCAAAATCTTGCATAGTTGGAAGGTCCAGGTGTAAGGGTTTGGGTTGCGTATTATGGAGATCCTGAGCCTCGAGATCCTTTTCGTTTGTGGATGAACATGTGTTGGGAAGCTTTGGGAAACTGAATGTTTATGCCCTGGATGAGCAGTTCAGGTTACAAGAGGCTTTGGAAGAGCTGCGTGAGACCCAACTGGGTATCAATTTGAGGGAGGTGCAGGAGAGCATCGTGGAGCATAGTGCGATGTATGCCAAGAATCCAGAGGTCTTGGGTGGCATGTTGCATTTGGTCTTTTCTTTGGATTTGCTAAATCAGTGGCAAAGCAAACGCGAAGAGGACCTTCAGGAACGCTTCCGACATTTGGAAGCCTTGCAGGCAGAGATGATGTGCTCTCGTCACACGGTGGATCAGCTCACCAAAGAGGTGCGTGAGGTTACGAGCCTCTCCGTTTCGGGTGCGTGCCCCGACACGCCCACCTCCCCGGGCGCTCGTCCCGCGCAGTGGGAGCTGCAGGAGCTGCAGCAGGAGAACGCCCGGCTGCGGCAGCTCCTGGCGCAGCAAAGCGCAGAGCCGGTGGCGCTGGAGCCGGTGGCATCGCCACGCAGCGCGCGTGGCAGCGCGCACAGCGTGTGGTTGGCGGCGTTGGAACCATTGGAGCCGCTGCTGGCGGCAATGCCCATGGGAAGTCAAGAGGCGCTGGATTTGCAGGAAGAAGCTTGTGAGGCTTATGGCCATTTGCGGCGTGTGGTGCTGCAAGCCGCTCGGGTCTGATATGGGCCAAAGTTGCCCGCCAGCACGGTGCCAATGTTGAATATTGGGATAGGTCCAAAAAAGGTGCTACGTTGTAGGATGTTGTAGGCCAGAGTGGGTTTCCATGCGTATCAGTCCATGTAGTGACTATATAGCAGATAAGTTGCAAAATATTTTACTGTATAATTATATACATGTTCATTATAGTATCCTACACCATGTCCTGCATTCTATTGTTGGTTGAGCCAAGTTTTGAGACTTTCGGACCATCGATGCACGGTCGAGCAGCAGACTCGCCATGTCGCCAGGTTCATGCCCTTGTCACGTCAGCCCACCTTTGAACGACGTGCATGGGAAGCGCTGGAGTGGTTGGAGCACCTGGTGGTTGACAAAGGTGTTGGTATGTACAAAAGTAATGCCCTCAAGAATAGAAAGCTGCAGATCCTGGCAGAAAGCGTGATTTGCCGAGTCATAGAACTGGTGGATCATGTTCTTGAAAGAAGGCATGGGCCAGCTTGGGCCTTGGCTGAGGTTTCGGATCATGGATGAGGACGGGCCAGGAACTCAAAGCCACTCGCAGTTCCTGCAGATGACCTCCCTACATGATTTGGATGCTAAAGAGAATTGCCGAACTGGCTGAAATGCCCTTCATTTGGAATATATTGATTTGTCGAGTGCTGGGGAGGGGGGGGTTGTTTCAAGCAGAATGCCTTCAACGCTTCAGGTCTGGCACCATCACAGTTAGTGAGATGCTGAACTGCATGCTGAAAAGCGAGGCCACAATGGGATTGTCATTGAAATATTGTCGTGAAATCCTCCTTTCCCACCCAAACGCTGGAGACTAAGATTCCACCTGCCCAGACATATGTGCTTTTCAACATGTTCAGCTTACTTAAGGGACTTGAGAGGTGCCCTCATCCTCCCATGTTGGGTCCAAGCACTTCTTCCAGGACATGTTGCAAGCAGTGATCCGGCATCGGCTCTTCGTCCGTCTCCCAGCGACGGTGAGCCGATGATCAGCTGATGAGTGAAGTGGGTGCTGATAGTGATGGGTGCTGATGATGAGCGTTTTGGGTGTCCGCGGTTTGGGGTTTCTCGCAGTTTCTCGCAGCCGAGGTGGGGACTTTGGCGGGTGGCCCACGCCGTGCACTCGGTGGGAGAGGTTAGGGCTGGGGTTTGCGATAGGGTGCATTGTGGTGAAGCTATGGGTTGAAGTTGGGGATATATATATATATACAGTCATACAGTATGTGTTTCTGTGCTGGAAAGGTGTGTTCATTGTGTCGTACAGAATTTTTGATGTGCTATGATTTTATGATGTGCTTCACCAACTGGTAGCGATCGACATTGTTCAGACGGATGGTCATTTCAATCTTGCGAGACTCAATTCACGGGCTTAAGTGGGACGGGATAAGCAAGACAGTGCAGCTAAAGGGCACACATCATTCATTTGTTGCAGTGATCCTCCGTAGAGGTGTGTGACTGGACCAGATGCTATCGGATTTGATGGCTTTGCATGGAAAAGACAAGAGACTGAAGACTAGTTGCTCCTACTAGCGATGGCCTCCAACCTAAAAGCAAACGATGGAAGCACGTCATAGCCTGTCCTGCCGACCCCTACCATGTTGGCCATTACGCCCGGCTCGAGGCACATCTTTGCCAATTGCCTCATTGGTTTTGACGGGTTGTCCTAACTAACTTATGAATATTTCATGTGGTGTAGTGTAGAGCTGTGCCTGCCGCGAAATCCACAGACGTGGCAGAGCACTGACACCCACCGTGAAAAACTACTCCTGAGCTGCCCTCGTCCTTCTACTACTGAGGCTCTGTGCAGCTAACTGTGGCCGAGCCAGACCCTGACAAAGAGGGTGAGGCCAGGCACGAGTCACAACGAGTGACACTGGATTCACCAGACGGCCTTGTTTGACACCACTTGGACGGACGAATCTGGGTGCAAGATCTGAGAATATGCATGAATTCCTTGTAAACAGGACATGCATGGACACCATGCCGCTTTCTCAGTTCTCGATTCCTAAGGTTGCTTGAGTTAAAAAAACAGTTCAGCATCAAGACGGCGCATTCCATGAGATTTCCCTTTTAAGCACAATTTAAATTGATCAGTACAAACCGTTTCTACATGTTTCTACCTAGTTTTTTGCGATCCATGTGTTACGAAAAGACTTTTGGTCAAGTCTTCTCGCCAATCCACTGGGCTCATGGATCCATGCCGCCAGGTCTTAATGCATTCTGCCAAGGCCATTGAGCGTGTCGGAATCGATTTGGCTCATCCACACCCGGATCCATGGAATCGGGATCATCGGCAATCCTGTTTCGGATCAAGATGAAACGTCTTTGATGTGAATCCTGAATCCTGAAAAGAAAGGTTCACCCCACTAGAACATCACATGGGACTATATTGAATAGGCCTCTAGAATTGGCACCAAACGACGTGCTTCTTCGTTGTCACCCGCGTTCCCCTGGAGCCCGCGCGGGTGCCCCGCGGTTCGCCCAGGTTGGGACACGTTCCCCTGTCCTTTGGGGGCTCTTCCATGTCCAGGACGGTCCTTCGTTCGGATCCAAACGAATGGTCCTTCGTTCGCGGGGAAAACAAAGGACCGAGGAGCGAGCTTGTCCGTTGGACGAGTCCAGCATGTGGTTGTTGTGTTGTTGTTTTTTGGTCACTGTTGATCCAAAAGTGTATTGGAATTATTGGACAAGTTGGGAAAGGTGGGGAAGGTTAGCAGGTGGGTAAGTTATGTAAGTTGTTTGTCGATGAAATGATCCGCTCTAGGAGGAGGTGACCCGAGAGCTCCTGCTACGGCCGCTTGGAGCTACGATGAGCTACGTGAGACACGGGTGGATGGTGATTAAAGGAGCCACAGATGCCAAAGGGGCGGGAAAACAATGGAAAAAGGATTTAAAGGCAAAGGGAAAGATCTGTGTCAGACGCCAGAAGCTACAAGAGTGTATGTACATGGCTGAGAGCAGAGAATTGTTCCATTCTTCCTCAAAGCAGTTGCAAACCATTGTAATTATACTTGTCAATAGGCTTGGTGTGTATGTCGCTGCCCTTTTGTTGCCTTGCCGCAAGGTCGGAGAATTTCTTTTGTCGCGGGAGGTGTGTACCATAGGTGTTGTGCCATTGACATGTTGTCTCATTGGGAAACACGGTCCTCCGAAAGTGATTGTTGATATGTTTTGGGATTAGTTTCTGGATCATGGGACCAACACCTTTAGAAAGGAACGAATGTGCAGTTTCGAGGTGGGAAAACTTCTTGGTCTCTGTGATTGAGAATTCTCCACTGAGTGCGGAGCTGGAAGAGCTTGACAAGGCCCTTCGACTCTGAGAAGTGTGAGAGACAGCTCATCTTGTTGAACAGAAGAAAAGGGGATGCAGACCCGTAGGACAAATAGCTGGGACACTTGAAACACACAACATGTGGGTTATTATATGGTCTTTGAGCAGTTGGGGGCGTGCTTGAGCTAGAAAAACCGCTAGAGATACATGGTGCATCATGGTGCTGTTCTGTTTGTAGATCAACAAAATACCATAACATGCGGCTCCGGAGTCACCCAATTGCAAGCAGGATTTGCTGCCCCAAGCAGGTTGGCTCGGCTCCGGCCCTCGCCATTTGGCCATGTTGCCGGAAAGCCGGCCCGCGCATGCCCGCTGTGCAACCAAGCTGAAGCGCTTTCTGCTGAGATATTTCCCGCCCGGGAACCGGCACCACTTGATTTCAAGAAAGCTGTCTGGGGCGGAAGTTGATGGTGCCTCCATCCCACGTATTGGAGTATTGATGAGTACTGTACCATGAGTACATGCGAACGAAAACATGAGAAATTGGCACCCTTCTTCCACCCTATGGTCCATCGGGGGATGTCCACAATTTCCAGGGATTTTCCAGGCATGTTTGCCACCTGTGATTGTGGGATGTCCACCAGCTTTCTGGGATACCCGCCCCTCGTCTACCAGTTGCAAAAGGCAAGGTCAGGACCCCGCTCACGAATAGGAACACAATAAATATAGTGTTTCAGAGTAGATGGCACCTTTAGATGTGGGTCCACATAAACCACCTTTTGGAGTTTGTGCCATCTACTCTGAAACCAGTGTAGTAGCTTCTGAAAGTCCATTCATTGGAAAGAATCCTACCCAAAGACGGCCGGATGCATCCGAGGATCATTTTGGAGTATCATGGCATCAACGGAGATCTCGAGACCAAGTCGATCGAACTTGGCAGCCTTGATCCGGAGACAGATGTGGACGCCTTGGTGAAGAAGCTGGTCCGTGAAGAGGGGCTCATCTCCGAGAGCAACAAGGCAGATTTCGTCCCGGTCGGAAGGTTCAATGGGAATGTTCAATATGTTCAATGAGTCTGTGATACCTTGGATGTGATACTGGGTTTAGTTTTGTTTTCATTTTGCTACCTGCGAATGCCAGGAGGCCCTGCAAAAGATGATCTTCAAGCTCATGGACAAGATCAAAGATCAGGAGAGTCAACGATTTGAGTTGGTGCAAATCTTGCGAGGCAGCGAGACGGCCAGGGGAATGAACCTATAGAATGGAACTGTCAGACAAAAAATTGCCGATCCGATGCATGAACAACGTGTGGTCAGAGCACAAGGAATGATTCGAACATCATTTGGAAGCATTTGTTGGACCATGTTTTTTGTATCCAGAGGAAATCTGTCCTTCATTCAACAACCGCATAGTGAAGTGACCGTTTCGTTAGGTTTTAGACTTAGACTCACTCAGGCTCCTTTCAATCCCTGTCTTACCCATCCTCGCAGGTCACCTTTTGCCATTGACCAGTTGCTCTTTCAACAAGTCCTGCTCAAAGATCCTCACGGCCTCCTTTGACCGCAGCTGTCGAGTTTGGGACGTTTTTGGCGAGGAACTTCTGACATTGGAGGGCCACGATGGCCCCGTGAACGCCGCGGAACCTGGGAAAGCAAAGGGTATGAAGAGAGGGGCGGAAACATGCGGAAACCATCGTTCGCAGCTGGTTTTTGGAGGAAGATCTCGTTCCGTGAAGTGGTTAATGGATCCATTAGGATGTTTGGTCGGGTCAACGAGGGGAGAGCGACGGGGGGAACGCTCCGGCCCACCGAGCCAACGCACGGCATTCGGTCATTCGGTCACGCATCTGGAGCTCGAGTGCGAGCCCTCTAGCGGCTAGATGTGGCTAGAAGGCGAAGTGGAACTGGATTGCAACAAGGTGCAACAAGGGAAGGATTCCACGTGTATAAGAAGTTTGAAGTTCCTGATTTGCCACCATTCTTCGAAGTGTTGTAAGAAGAAGACCACCTGTGTCAACTACCAAGTGGACAACCTGAAGGTTCCCACATCAGTTACAAGCTGCCAGCGCCGACCCAACCACTGACCGAGTTCGCTTCAGCAGCCCAACCACTGGAGGCCTTCAACAACCCTTTGGGCGATCGCATTGTGACCGGCAGTGGGAAGTTGGCGCGGCTTTGGGATGCCAACAGCGGGCAATGTCTCCACGTGCTGATCTCTGGCAGTTGGAACGGAGAAGCGCGGGACCATGGAACAACAACGGAACAACGGAACTGATAATGTTTGATACCCATGGTTTAAGGGGACCTCCGAACCTCCTCAGAGTGATGAACTCATATTAGAAGTGGACTTGATTCCAGCAGCACAAGCCAGGCGGAGCGCATTCAGGCAATCACCATAATGGTTGGGACCATCTCCATGTGTCCTACTGCGGCATCAACATGACAAAGGGCTTCAATATTGCTCGATTGTCATTGTACTTTCTTTATGTTTCCTCATTGGTCTCTACATGGAACCATCCGGTGCTAGGGATGCAACTGACCAAAGCAAGCATTATGAGCATAATTTAATAGGTTTTAGATGTGTTTAGTATTGTTTAGCCTAGACATGTCCAGGAACACCACTTGTGACAACAATTTGTTCGGGCCATCGAGCCAAACATCATAATAAGGATGCTGCGCATTGTCATCTACATCATCCCATGAACGGAGTTGTTTGGAGAAGGATGCTGTAGGAATTTTGCAGGTGTTCGAGGTTAACGCTTATGTCAATTGCAAGCTGTTAAACATATGTTTCTTGTGTTCGATGTTCACTTCACACAATATGCTTCATGCGAATGGAAGTGCAGCGACACGTACAGTGCAACTTGTACATATA